GTTACTCTGTATCCTGCTCTCTTTCCCTGGGTTGTTTCCTATTCATTTTCCCTTTTGTAAATGAACCTGTTATTGACCCTTTGTGTGTCCCTGCAGTATAGCTGAATTGTGAGTGCACGGGTGAGGCCCCACAGACAGGCAGCCTGGTCCACTCTGGGCTACCCTGTGACATTAGCTCTAGAAGAATTCAGATTAGGGATCAAGCCAAGCAACCTCACTCCAGCACCCACCCTGGACCACAACATCACCCTGCCCCCCGGGACCCCACTACCAGTGAACAGAACAGATGCTGGGGACAGAACGGGACAGACAGACTTGGTTCCACCCCGTGAAACAGGTGATGGTTTACCTTCCCAGTTCTGGGAGTTGTGCTGTGTGCTGGGTGAAGGAACAGATGTTTAATAACTTTGCAGTAGCAAGGAGGAGGTTACATAACATGGCTGAGCTATTTTTGAACTTTGGAAAATGCTGACTGCTCATTTCAATGTGCCTTCTGTAAAACCAGGAATGTGAACCACAAAGAGCACTTTCCCCTCTTCCCCACTTTTTCCTCCTGAAATCCCAGGGTCAGAAGCAGGTCCTCAGTAAGGATATTGACACTCATCCCGCCATTAGACTTCTGTTCTGGGTCCAGTGCCCGAGCAGTAAGTCACTGTCACGATACCCTAACTACCCAGCTCTGTGTGCAGATCACATGCGATGCCCATGAGGGCCTCTGGGGACACGTGCGATGAGTCCCAGATGTCCTGCCCCCTCAGAGCTGGGTGTCAGGTCCCCCAGCAACTCACGTCATGTCACCATCAGGTGTGGCTTCACCTGAACCTCTGCTGAAGTGATCTATATCCTCCTTACCACAGAGTGGCCCACGGGAACTACATGTTTACTGGAGGCTTTTTAATCCAATTGCAAATGTTACCTGAAACTATGACACTGGGAATACGGCTTTGTTAGGTTGGTTTTCAGTAGAAGAACTGGGGTGCGTGGGTGAGAGGATTCACTAGCGACAGAATGGAGAGCAGAACAGGTGGAGGATCTACTGAAATCGAATGCTGAGGGGAGCAGGGGTCACCTCGCTGGCCGGGGATTGAACTCAGGCCATAGTGATGACATGCTGAGATTTGACTCCTAGGACACCAGGGAGGCCTTGCGCTTTTTGTTTAGGAGACTCCTCATGTGAAGATTTCAATTCTCCCTAAACTCATCTACACTTTCTTCAACATAATTCCAATCAAAATCCCAAAAGGATTTTTGGAAAGAAATCATTGTTTCTTTTTCTTTTTTAACATTCTTACATCGTTGTTCAGTTTGTGCAGTCATCGCTTCCTCCCCTGAGGTGTAGTCACTTCATTCACCACCACGTCACCTGTGAACCATCACCACATCCCCTTGTGTTCCTCCCGCCCCTGCTCGGACTGGTAAAGAGACACAGAGTTGCATTCTGGATTAGCAAACAATCCAACCACCTGCTGTCTCCCGGAAACACACCTCAGCTCTAAAGATAAACGCAGACTGAAAGCAAAGGATTGAAAACAATTCTACAAGCAAATGGCCCCCTGAAGCAAGCGGGGGCAGCCATACTGATAGCAGGTAAAATAGATTTCACACTAAAAAAGGTGACAAGAGACACCAGTGGACACTATAGAATGATCAAGGGGACAATGCACCTGAAAATGTTCCATTTTCAAAGCCCGAAGAGGGAACTGCTCACTCTATGGCCCTGAGCTCCCACGGACCACACTGGCAGGCTGTAGAGGCGCGAGTCCTCAGCCTTCAGCAACCCGGGCTGGAGATCCCATACTGTCAACCGTCCACATGGCCATCGAGAGGTGATCAAATTAATGCCAAAACATTTAGACACCAGAATACATAATAGCAACAGAGATGCATACGCAGGAATCATAATGTCTGTGCTCATCAGTGAGGTTCTGGCAGAGAACGTGACGGGGAGGGAGGCCTGACCTCAGCTGCACACACATCTGCCCGGCTGCTGGACACCCCCAGCTCATCACGGGGATTCTCCCGCTCGTGGACTGAGACGAAGCGAGCATGTCTCGGAGGGACCTTTCCACTTCCCTGTGAGGTGACACATGATCTGTGAGGTCTTACTTCTTTTAAAATAAACAAACCTAATGGTCACCTTTGTTTTCTGTGGTGAGTGCTGGGGGAATTTCATCTGACTGTATCCTTCTGTAACGTTCTTCTTTTCAACAAGATCATGCTTCGCTTAACCTTGAGGCTACATTCCCAGATACAGTCTGAGAAATGCATTCACTTTGAGGCAATTGTGATTTTGTGCAGAAGTCATGACGTGCATGACTGTCTGTTGTAATTACCCAAATCTAGGTGTCGAGCCTGCGGGACCACCCGCCATCAGCCCTGCGGCTGGTCGTTGGCAGAAACGCCAAGCGAAGCCTGGCTTCTGGTGACAGGAACTCGACTTCAGACATTTCCTCCACGCTCATCAGACTGTACATTCTTTGAGGAGATCAGTTATATTTTCATTCACCTTTGTGTCCCAGGGGTCATCTTTGGGTCCGGGAACAGAAGGAACTCTGGACAGAGGACAGAGAGATAGCGTGGCCTTAACCCTTCTTTATAGTTCTTCAAGCTCTCACGCTGGCCTTGCCTGGTAAATTCCCATTCTTTCCTGGGAAGCTGAGGGGGCACTGAAGTCATGGGCAGGGTGGCAAGGCCTCTGCTTTGCCTTTATCAGACCTACACCTGAGGTGAGCACCGCCAGGGTCCTAGAGCAGAGGGTGAGGGCGGGAAGGGACTGAGCAACCACTGACATCCGCCCTCAAAGTGTAACTTCTGGGAAAAGCACAGTATCATTTAATAGAAGTAGGATTCTTCTTTTTAAAGGAATGGTTACAAATACCCCTCTCAAATTCCTTCTCCTGTGTATGTCTCAATTGCCCTAAAATTGAATTATGTTTCCATCAAAATCGAACATTTCTGAATATTTCAAGCGCTGGGGCAGTACACATTATGGGAAGCAGGAGTTCATTTGCCCAACCCGTCTTTCGGCTGGCAGCAACTCTACCTCCGATGGGGCTCCCAGGTCTCAGACTGATTTATTGAAGTTGTTTCCTGATATTTGGATAATTATTTAAAATACTGAAAAGCATCGTTAAAGCAGGATCGTTAAAGAGCGGAACAGGAGAGGGGGCGGAGACATTTCCCTCCCCCCACCATGGCCTCTTAATTCAAGAGTTCATTTTTCACTTAAATGTCAGCTTTACAGAAGCGTCATCTGCCTACCCACTCCCCTCCCCCCCACTCTCACACACAAATGCGCAGCCTCATCTTAGCAATAATTCCTAATTCAAAGAAGTCCTAAAGCCTTCCAGGGATATCTCAGAATGACACGTTACTCTGCTGTAATAAACCAATCTGGTTTGCTGACAGTCATTTCTGATCTTCAGAAATTCCCCACTTGTTCTGACAGCCATGAATTAATTAGTGACTGGGTGCTGCGGACCGGGCTAAACAGCATTTCTCAGGTATCACTCAGTCAACACTCATGAGACCCTCTAGGACACTGATTGTCAACCAGGGTCCCCAGGGAAGCAATACAACTTCTCTCCCCATCACCCCCCTAAGGAACCTGTTAAACCTGAAACTTCTCAGAGCCCAGCCCAGTCCCACTGAATGAGAGGCTCAACCGGGCGGGCGTGAGCTATTCACATACTCTCCCCGTGGTCCTGAGGTTGAACTTAACAGCCTGAAGGCAGGTGCCACCACTTTGCAAAGCACAGTGGGAGCCCAGAATGGTAAGTGACTGGCCAAGTCACACAGAGAGTGGAAGAGACAAGATTTGAGATATGAGGTTTGGTCTCACTCCAGCACCCAATCTCTTAATCACAGTGCCCACTGTCCATTATCAGAGGCATTATCAAAAGCAGTGATGAAATCCACCGGCCAGAGGTAAAACATGCAAAATTGTCATAAACGTGGTTCTGTCTCAACAGCTGTGCCATAAGGATGACTCACAAAGAACAATGATGCTTCTCAGCAACATAAAATTTAACAATGTCCAGCAAGATGGGACTCATGAAATAAATCACGATGCATCCATGTGAAGGAACATACCGTGACTTTAAAAGCGATGTTTGCCAAGGTTGCCAATGGCCTAAAGGCTACTTAGGAAATAAGATTAAATTCAGATGCAAGTCTAAACAGAGACCAGGGACCCTGGGTGGGGAGTTTTCTCAAGTGTATCAAGCTGGTGAGAACATGGAGAGTCATGGAATGTCACAAACTCTTGTCAGGAATGTACATGGATAGTTACGCTCTAGGGTAATTTGGCAATCAATATTTAAATTTTCAAAGGCACGTTTTCTATGACCCTCAAATCTACTTCTGAGATTCAACCCCAGAAAAGTTCTTGCACATGTGCTTAAGCTGACGTGTAGTATGATTATCCCCGAGGGTAGTTTTCCTAATAGAAAAATAAACGAAGCAATATAAATATCTATCATTGTGAAGATGGGCTAAATAAGTCACGGTGTTATGCCTGCTGAGAAATGCAATGGGTGGGTTACCAAGCTTGTAGATATTCAATTATATACACGTATGCATGTGTGTACACATGTCTGCCTATAAATATACACACGTGTAACATATAGATAGGAGCAAATAAATGATAAACCTACACACATACATGCTTACATGTGCCGCTTGGCAGAGAGAACAGACAACAGAAAGATACTAGGTACTAGGTGGGTAGACAGATAGACCTCAAGTGTCGGTTTGCCAGGCAAGTTATTAAGTAAAGGAAGCGAGCAGCAGAATGCCAAGGCTGATGCTACTCAGAAAGAAAAGGCGCTGCAATGAGAAACGGGGAAGGAGATCAGAATCCAACAAAACACGCCTATCCGGAAACACACACGTTCTCTATCTCCAGCACACACTTTCAATAAGTATGTGTTGCTCTGAGTAGCTCAACAAACAACAAAACTCCAAACCCACACTGGAGACAAGCAAATGGCGCCTCTTACTGGTGAAGGGTGTGCGGTGGGGCCTCTGGCTTCTCCGTCTGCCCGTAGCAGCTGGCCTTGGCCTCGGGGATGAAGGAGAACTTCTCCAGCATGGAAGCTGCCGCGGTGGTGAGGATGCCCAAACCGTCCCTCACTCTCGCCTCCAGGCTGTAGTCCCAGTCATCATAGGACACTGAAATGAGTCCTGATGGAAACTCTTTGGGGATGAGCTCTGTGTTCCCAGACACCAAGCTGGGGACAATCCAGAAGAAATCATACCCCGTGAGGCCAAGGGAGCGGGCCTCGCTCAGAATGAGGACAGCCTCATCTTTGGAACAATAGAGCAGGATGACAGAAGAGTGGATCTTCTTTAGCTGAACTTGTGTCTTTGCATCCTCGAAGGAGGTATCCAGGGTAATCACATTCTGCATATCCCAGCCCACGAAGCTGTTGTCCACTGTGGTCTTGATGAAGCTGATGAATTCCCGGTAGCCAGGGAAGATGGTGGTCACAAGGGAGAAGACGTGCCAGTCGTAATCCTGCATGATCTTCAGCATGACCGTGGCTTGTTGCTGGATGGACGCTCCAAACTGGAAGAAGGTAGACGTCGGATCCTGCCAACAGGTTAAAAGAAAACAAAACAGAGAATGAGGCAGCAGGCAGCGCAGATACAGCCATATGTTTTATAGACTTAAAGGAGGTCCTTCTTGGAAGTGAGGGAAAATGTATCACGCACTATTCATTTGCAAGCATTCCTGAGCACCTACTATATGCCAGATTCTGGAATGCGTGCTAGAAATACAGAAATAAAAGAGGCCCCTCAACCTGGAGCCCACAGCTGGGTACAGTGAAAGACATCTGTTATTTCATCAGCCCCTCATCGATTCTCTTCATTTTCCTCAAGCTCATCCCACCCCAGCCCCCTTTTAATCCATATGGTTTCAACAGTATAGCTCTATCTGGCATCCAGGCTCATGCCTGGAAAAAGAAGCCAAGAGAGTCAAAATAACTTCAGGATGTAGAGACAGATTCCTGGTGACATACCTGGAGCACCTGGAGGCTGTCATACCTGAAGGCATTCTTTCTGGTCCCTCTTGTTATGTAAGCTGACAAGCTCCCCCAGTCATTTAAATTGATTTGAGTAGGGTTTCTGTCCCTTGAATTCTAGACTCATGTGTGATGTAGAGCAAAGCAAACGACTGGCAGACATATACCTCATCACTGGACAAATATTTGTTTGGATATAGACAGTGTTTTAGAACTTGGGGAAATAGTGATATGTAAGTCAGATTATAAGACTCATACAGACATGGTCTCTGTCTTCATTGACTCACTGGGAATTTGAGGAAGAGAAACTTCCAAGCCTGGGAGCTGAGAGAGGCAATGTTGAAGGAGAATCTCAGTATTACGGGCAGACTCTAGTCAGAGGAGCCCCAAGGATACATCGCCAGGAACCGGAGATAAATGCATTATGGCTCATGAAGTAGGGGAGAATGAGGTGGTTTTCAGAGTTCAGCAGGAACACCTTCATGTACAGCCTCCGGGCAATGTTGATGGGCTGAGATTCTATTCTGAGCCCAAGGGGGTGGGGTATGGTGTGCTCTTAAGCTGAAAAGTGACATGATCACCTGCATTGGGTTAAAGAACCGCTAAGAGACCCAACATCTCCCTACGTCTACAAGTCTATGATTAGATTATGAGAACAAATTTCCATCCAGAAAAGGCAAGTGTTGCATACAGCAACTGATGAACCATTTTCTCACCTCCCAACTCACCTCTGGATCCTACAGGGCTGCGAGTTGTCATGGGAAACTGAGGCACAGCTAGTGAATCTCTGTGCTCGGGTTTGGGGGCCACATCAGCCCCCTTCCCAACGCAAAGCCACAGCCTTCCTGGAGCTGTGAAAAGCTTGAGACAGCAGATACCTAACCCAAGTGTGGACAGGTGTGCAAGGTGTGAGACTGCCAGGTAAGCAGGAGGTGTGCCAGCACCTTATAGCAAAACAGGATTTGACAAATGCTGACATCTATTTGTTTTGGGGAAATGAAGACTCCTTGATGGTCCTTAGATGACATCCATGCTTTCATTCTGTGTTCTGTATTTTCCACATGCATTTAACACAACTAAAATAGCACAAAGGTGAGGATTCTTCTACACGTGAGTGTGCATGTGTGTCTGTGCCAAGAGTGAGTGCTTTCATCCATGTCTTCTGGAACAATACTTTGTAGTTGTGCATCTCAACACCCTCAGAAAGCTACTTTGCTTTCCTTGTGATGCTCACCGAGTGAAGTTTTATCTGAATAGCCAAAAGCTATTGTTCTTCAAGATACTTTTTCCTAAAACGTATGGGGTGATGGCTGTGTGGTAGGGAAAGAGTTGGAGCACAATATAGCCTGAGGCAGAGGGAAACACAGGGATGAATACCTTCTGGGCTCCTTCCAACATGATAGGACGATGAATTTTACCTAATTAAATCAATTAAAGTGGGTAACAGATTTAAAGACTTTGGGCCATTATCTTTCTCCCTACAGTAGCTTTTGGAGAAATCCAATATTCTTGGATTGATTAATCATTTTAAATCACATCTCAACAAGACTGAACAGCTCAAGGGCAGAGATGTTGCTGTCCTCATTTCTCTGTCCCCAGAACCTGGCAGAAGGCTTGGCACATGACACACCAATAAATGGAGGGTGAGGGACGCACGAGTGAGTGGGTATGTGACCGCAGTCTAGGAGGAACGACCTTGCTTTGAGCAGTAAGTGAAAGGCGAGAAGTCAGCACCTGAGCCTGGACTTCATATAGTTCCTGAATATTATGTCCAAAAAATTAAAGAGTTCCCCACTGCCACCCTATTACTCTGAGGAACCACTTCTCCACCCACTGGCAAAAATATTTTTCACCTACCATATTGATAAGACCCATAATAAGCCTTAGGGGCCATCCATAGAGCCTCACTAAATAGCATAAAGGCAACAGCATCAAGAGCCAATCGAAGAAGCGAAAGCAACAGCCAGCATCTCTCATCAGCCTCAAGCACAGTCAGCGGCCTCGGGAAAGGGACTGAAGTTCCATGGCACCATCTGCAAGGAAGCTTCCGGGGCATCTCAGCTGAGCTCACATCCTGTGTCTATGTGTAACCACTGGAACTTTCTAGGCCAGAGTTTCTTGGCCTATGAAGTGAGAGCCAGCCCAGTGGGTGGTGGTGAGAATGAAGTGGAGGGAGTGAGGAGCCACCCACTCCTGACTCATCCTGACTGAGGACCCTCACCTCATCCTCGGCCCTCTAAACTTCAGGATCATTTCTGGAAACCTGAGGGGATCCTTCCCAGGTCTGAAAGGGGAATCTCCAGATCTACTGGCTGCCCCTTCACGCCTCCTCGCTCCTCAAGCCTCCTCTTTATTCTGAGCCCAAAGTGCCAACAGGGGCTCTTCTCACAGCCATAAGCCGCGCCTTGGAAAGAAAGCTTCGTACCTCACACAGTTATTCTACAGCGCTTCCACTCGAGACCCCCACTTCAAAATCCTGTAGGCCAAAGGCACTCTCTATCCCTCAGAAGGATGGCAGCGAGCAGATATTTGCATGACATAATTGCACAGTGAGGCAATGAAAGGCTTACTTTTCACTGTGGGCTTTTCTAAGGTGGTTTTATGGACTGGCAGGAGGTAATGGGGAGTCTGGCCATGCTCCCAGGACCCAGCAGCTGAGATGCCAGTGGCCCTTTCTTTCCAGACCCTGAGTATCCCTCGGTGTCCCTGCATGGACAGCAGGGTGCCGACCCCCCACACTCACCTCCTCCTGCTACCCTTCCCCTACCCTGCACCGATGCTACAGATCGACCTCTGACCACCTTTGGCACTGGCTTCCTCAGCAGGGTGCAGCTGGGGGAGAGGAACAGATTTTAGACACCCACTTTGGTTCTGCAGCAAACGCAGTTCTCTCCCCAGGCTCAGTGCTCTGCAGAAGATAGAACAAACTGTTTTAAACACAGAGCGAGGGAGGCAGGGGGGTGTGGGAATCTGGGTATCTGCTCTCATCTCTGTAATTCAGTCCCACCATAATAACTGTGATCTCGTTAGATTAGGTCTCCTGAGCTAATGTTCTAGAATATTCCAGAGTTTTCTAAGTCTCCAGGGTGAGACCTGACTCCACGGGTATCAAGGCCTGAAGGCCTGATGTTTAATAGAGTCTAGTCCCAACTTTCATTTCACTTGCCCATGCACACAGGCCATAAAGAACACCCACACCCATTACCTCTGATTCTAACTACCCAAGAGATGAGGTCTTGCAGGTGGTTATAACCCCCCTGGCTGGTTTCTCATAAAGACACAGGAAAAGAGGTTAAGTGATTTCTCTAAAATCCATGTGGCCCCAGCTGGCAACAGCTCAGTGATTTCAAGATTCCCTCCAATGTTTCAGTGTTCTTGCACACACCACTGGCTTTCATTCCTGGATGCACAAGTGAATCACTCAGAGAATTATAAAAAAAAAAAAATAAAATGCAGATGCTTGTGCCCCACGCCAGTCCCAATGAAACTGAATTTCTATGACCTAAGTACAGGAACCCCAAGCTGATTTACTTGCTTTTCTCTGTCTTATTGCAACAGCAGGATGTGTTATTCAAGGGGGCATCTAGAAAGCCTAACACTGTGTCTGATATACAGTAGGGACTCGATAAACATTTGGGGAGGAAATAAATGAGCAGGTAGCTCATCCCAGGGAGCATGAGAAACTGGTTGCTGTTGTCAACTCCAAACCCTTTTCCATAGCTCATTTTCCTTTTGTCAACCAGGGTTGGTGCCAACAAAAAGGATGATGATGCAGGTGACCCACAAAGACCAGGAGGGATTCCTTGGGAATTTGTTTTCTCCTATAAGAGGATTGTCCTGATACAATTCTTGTCACTCTTATAGTGACTATGCTTTAGAACATATTTTATGTCTCAATGGACTACAGTAAAAAAGTCAAACCGATCAGTCCTAGAATTCAGATGGATAGCTTTTTCAAATGTATATAAGCTGAATATGTCCCTCTGAGGAAACAATCTCATCCTCACCCATCCTTCTCCTCCTTTATTGTCATCATTATCCACCATCATAATCACCCACTATCATTCACCACAACCACCAACACTATCGTCCACCATCATCATATGTGCAACCTATCATCATAATTATCATCCAACACCATCATCATCCACCACCATCATTATCACCATCATCATCATCCACTACCATCATCTACCACCATCATCATCCACCACCATCATCATCATCCAACACCACCATCATCCACCATCATCACCCACCACCATCATCATCCACCACTACATCATCCACCACCACATCATCCACCACCATCATCACCCACAATCATCAACATCCAGCACATCATCACCCACCACCATCATCAGCAGCAGCAGCAGCATTGTGATAATCATCACAGTTAACATTCATTGGGCATATTCAACACATAGTACAGTGTAGAATGCTTATTATTACCCCTGCATTACAGATCTAAGAATTCAGGCTTAAACCATAAAACCTGCCCAAATCCACACAATAAGTACATGGCAGAGCCAGGATAAAAGACCAGTTTGTATCCAGAAGAGAAATA